CCTAACCATACTGACAGGAATAAGATGAATTCTAAAAGTTGTTTTGATTTACATTTCATTGATGACTAAGAATCTTGAACATTTAGTTAAGTGTTGAGATTCATCTATTTAGAATTCTTTATTTAGACCTGTACTGAATTTTTATTGGATTATTTAATTTGTTGATGTGTAGCTTTTTGAGTTCTTTTTCTTTCTGAGCAAGTAAATGCAAACCACATAACCAAACATGATGTGTACTGACTTGTAAGTGGATATTAGCTATAGAGTAAAGAATAATCACAGTACAATCCACAGACCCAGAGAAGGCAGTAACAAGGATGGCTGTATCAGGGGATAGAATGGAGCCCCCACAGAAAGAGGAGATAGACTAGATTTGTGTGTGTACTTGAAGCAAGAACAGGAAGGATTACGGGAGTAAAGAGAGGGACAGAGGGAGAGAACAGATGGAGAGATGACGGAAATAGGAAAGTTTTCATGGGTGATGCGAAAACCAGGTGCAGTAGAAACATCCTGCAACCACGAAGGTGACTCTAGTAAGGACTGCCAGTAACTAAGAATATGGAGCTTGAACTGGCCATCTTCTGTAATCACATGCAGTACCCAGTGCTGGGACTAGGAAACCAAGGCAATCATAAAATATTCAACACACACTTGTTCTATATGGAAGATATTTCAAGGAAAAGGTGGCTCAAAATTGATATAGTGTCAAACAAATGACTGGCTTAACTTAAGGCACAAATGGCCAGTATAAACACCTAGATGGGCATGACCAGAAGTTGAGTGACTCAGAGAACTAGGGTAAAACCAAATACAAGTGACAGAAAATTTAAAAAAAAAAAAGCCCATTGTAATGGTTCCTATCTCTTTGTCAAATGGCTCTCCAGGTCTCCAATTTCATTCAGCTTTGATGTGTGAACCATACTTCTTTCTCTTTGTCTGGTTCAATTCACCATTAGCAGCTCTCCTTGGCAGGTTCCCTACAACCCTGGCATCTCTAATATCTTGGGTAATTACAAAATTCCACTGTCCAATATCTAAGATCTACTCAGAATCTTCTGAACTCCTCCACAAGCCTTGCTTCAATCCTCTGACTCTTCCCTCCACAGTACTCACAGCTGGTCTTCTAGACTGGCTGGCTCAATTCTACTGCCACCTCTGTTCTCGGGGGTCATCTCACGGGTCTGTTATCTCCAAACACTGGGAGCTTCTGTTGCAACAGGGCAGCACTTTCACCAATAGTCTCTTATAGGCTCTCCTCAGGGAGCCAAGTCTCAATTTTTTGGCATGACCTTTACAGGCCTCGGCATTCAACTGCCAATAAGTCTGCACCTTCAGTGATGTCCTGTCCTGGCCTCTCACAGTGACAAGCCTCAAACCCCTCCATGCCTTCAAAACCAGTACCGCCTGGCTGACACACATTACTAAGTTCACCTGGCAGCATGATTTACTACCTTGGTTACCTCCAGAAGACAGCTTCTCTGTGCTCTTTTTTTTAGCACTTCCCAGACATTTTCATATTAATGATGCTGGTTGCATATGCACTAATTAATTAATTAATTTCTGCTGATTAACCATTTCTAATTTCTTAGCTATAGCCACTGCGTTTCATATACCCAGCAATGCAGAATTCGCTGGTGCAGAAGAATTGTCTGTATTCTGCCAATCATGTATTTTAATAAAACGCTGATTGGCCAGGCAGGAAGAATAGGTGGGTCAACCAGACAGGAAGTAGAGGCGGGGCAATGAGAACAGGAACATGTTGGGAAGCAGAAAGCTCCCTCTGACATTCCTGCGCAGACCACCGAAGAGGCAGCATGTAACTTGCCCAGCTGAGAAAGGTACTGAGCCATGTGGCTAACATAGATCAGAATAATGGGTTAATATAAGCTATAAGAGTTAACAAGAAACCTGAGCTAAGGGCCAATCAGTTTATAATCTTATGGAGTCTTGTGTGTGATTTTCTTTGGGAATTGCTGGCTGTGGGGAGCCTGGCGGGATAGAAACCACAAGCCAGCCCTCATGTTACAATTCGCTTCAGTACTTCTGATATCACAGCCACAGCTAAACAGACCTAGAGGATCAAAACTCCTTTCTTCTATCCTTTGCTCTAAGTCCAGAACCACATGGCCACAGATGTCAGGATCTGCTACTTACTGGGGCTGGAACATGGCTCCTTGTTTAATTACATCTTCGCCAGTTTTCTATCTTTCACTGCCTGAGCTTGACTATACTGGAATTTCCTCAGTAAATCAGGCTGGCCTTGAACTCACAGAGGTGAGGATATGAGTGCCTCTGTATTCTGAGTCCTAGGATTAAAGGTGTGTGCCACCATCCTCTCAGATCTTTTCTCACTTTATTCTTTTTTTAATCTGTTTATCTCCTTGAACAGAGGATTTAGCTACATTCCACTCTTGCATGCCCCCTTTCTTCCCAAATATTCTCTTGTTCAACTTGCTTCTTTCATTCTATATCTCCATTAGAGTTACCACTGATATCCACATGACAGAATCTATTCTAAGCTTTTTTGAGATTTCTTCTGTCAATGAAATTAATCAAAAACTCTTCATTTTGGCCTTAGGGAGATTCATTTGCAAAATGCACACTCTTCCTTCACCAAATTATCACAATAATAATTTTTAGGAATCACATAAGAATTCTCCCCTGAAACCCCATAAGCTATCGCCTACTATTTCATACCATTTTCAAAGCCATGTCTCTTAGGCTCTTACTAGTATGCCCCATGCACTTTTCCTAACCCAAGTTCTCAAAGTCCATATTATTTCTGACAAAAGTTTGGTCAGGCCTATCACAGCAATACCCCAGTACCTGGGACCAACTTCTGTTTTAGTTAGGCCTTTATTGCTGGGAAGTGACATCATGCCCATAGAAACATTTCATTAAGTTGGTTCACTTATGATTTCAGACATAAACTGTGTGGTGGTTTTGCACACCTTTAATCCCAGCACTCAGGAAGCAGAGGCAGGTGAATCTTTGTGAGTTTGAGGCCAGCCTGGTTTACAAAAGCTAGTGCCAGGACTGGCGTCAAAGCCACAGAGAAACCTTGTCCTAAACCCTGCCCCTCCCCCCCCAAAAAAATTCAGATGTAGAGTGTGGAGGACCAAGGGACCTTATACAGGGAGAGATCAGCAATTAGACTTTGATATGACAGCATATGTCCAAGTTAGTGCAGCTTCCAAGAAGACCTGGCACAGACTTCCATCTTCTAAAAAACAGGCTGAGGAGTTGTCTAGTATAAGACAGGGAACAGATAAATTATTTCAAAACTGTGTCTCCAGACTAACACAGACATCTAATAGGTTGATTGGAGAAACAGAAGCAGGGCAATCAATAGTTAAAGAGCTAGCATTTGAGAATCCTAATGCCATGCGTAAAGTGGCTCTACACCCTTTTAAAAAGCAAGATGTCATTGTCTACAAATGGCAACCCAATACGGTGCACTCAGCCAACAAATGGCACCTAAATGTGGGTCTGACCAGTGAACCCTAAAACACACAGAAGTGTGGTCAGGTATAAAAGGGAGCACTGAGGGATCCCACAAAAAATTGCACCACAGGTGGAGAGGAAAGTAATGAGTGCTCAGAAATAAGTAGTAGATATAAAAAGGAAAGAAAAAAGCTGGGCATAAAATTGGGAGTAAAAATGCAAGTATTTGTAAACATGACACAAGGAAATAGTACTCAAGTATCTGTACAGTTGCTTAGATGGATTTTGATAGCCAGAGGAGCTGAAGTGGAGCAGAAACAAAGGAAGAGATTTTTAGAGTTTTTCTACATTATAGTCCTACCTCAGCACTGGCAGTGTATCCACTGCCATCCTCAGGCAGCTCCAAGACTTAGAGAGACCAAAATAAGTTTTATCTCACTCTTGCAGCCAGCAGTGCTGTGGTCACCAAGCCACAACCTCTCCCACTTCTGACTGGTTGAAAAGAATGAAGGGGGTATGGTGTTTGCCCAAGAATTGGCATCGGTTACTGCTGAGATTGTGGTAGTCCAAGCATACGTGCTGTGGCCAGGTGAGTCTGACCCACACTGTGCTGTGGAGCCAGGAAAGGCAGACAGGAAAGTTTAAAGGGCTATACCTCCCACAGTCAGCATCCAGAGTCAGCCAAAGGAAATGCCTACAGGCTAACTGACCCGTGAGCCAAGGCGCTTATAATGGATAAATCTATGGCTTTTAACTGAGGAGAGAATTCAGAATTCTTTTAATTGTGTGGTTACAAGAGATAAAATAATAAAGCAACTATAGTAAAAATCGGTATAACTGTACCCACTTAAGCTTATGAATGTTGCAGTCTCGAAGCCTCTGCAATGGTGGACATCTGAGAACCTGAGCTAAATTGGCCAGCTGGTCATAGTCTGTGACGGGACATAGTCTATAGCTATCATGCAATCTTCTGGCAGGAGAAAAATATGTCAACTTAGTTATCATTTGGTGCTTGGGTTGCTCTCATGGTTGTCAGAAGTACCTGTGACTGCTGATGTCAGCCTGCAGCTACAGAACAAACATCATCTTTGATTTTCTACAATCTGTACTTAATATTCTGTGCACCGTTCGATCTTTTGAACAGGAGAATCAGTCTACTCCACATTGTGTAATGGGCTATGCTAGCTAGCCACATCATGTCAAGGAGGATGAAGGCAATGTGGTTGTGGATTACAGGAAGACGCTGTGTTATCTATCTGAGAGAGGCATAAGTGATATTGAAATTCATACATCTGCAGATCTGTAAAAGTCTGGGTCTGGAGTAGAAGTCAGGACCAAGGAACCCTGTGCTGTGTCTTTAAGCACACTGTAAGGCTCAGAGGAAGTTCTCTTGTTACTCAAGCCGCGCTAGCCAATCAAGACCTCTAGGTCAACCTGTCAGTCAGAAGTCAGTCAGGGCACTTCCTGGCACCATACTGCGGGATTGATTTTAAAGCTGAGAAGGCGCCAGTGGATTGCATTCTGGGAGTGCTACTGCAGGGAGCTCTGAGGAGATCATGGGTGAGCCTGGAAGCCACGACATGGTGAGTACAGGATTGCTCATCCAAAATGAGGAGGAGAGGATGGTGAGCCATGGGAGGCAGTGTGGCAGGCCCTCCCTGAGCGAGGGTAGGAACCTCCCGCTATCATCAGTGTTCTCTGAAGTCCCATGTGGTCCTTGCAACTCCCCAGAACCAGGTCTTGGCCTCTGAATAACTTCCCTCTGTGGGCTGGATCTGTGAAAAGGATTTCCAGCAGGGAATTGTGTGTAGAAACATCTTTGTGGTCTACATCAACGTGATTTTGATACTAATGGAAGGCAGGATCCCAAACTTGGAGATGCCTAGTTTTTCTATTTCCTTTCAGAAACGTTGCCCTTTGCATTTAGTATTTACTAGTAAGATCCCTTTGCATTTAATATTTGAAAGTAAGATACCTTTGGAGTTAATTTTGTGGAGTTTGTAAATTGCATTCTTGCATTAGTTTCCACTCAATTACTAACCGGTGGTGCACAAGGTAGACTTGTTGATATAAAGGCATCACCAATGCTTAGGAGATACTTAGCTGAGGAAGCCTGTCTCTAAATTACCCAAAGATAGCAAAGTAGTATGCTAACTAGGCCTGTTAGAGATTAAGATGCTAGGATACAACATTGTTTACATAGATAGCTTAAACATTTCACTCTAGACTATGACAAAGACACCATTGATTTATAAACAGCCACTACTCCTGTCCCCATATCAATGAGCAGACCTCTAATGTCCTGTTCAAGGCCATTATAGGATCATAATGAATATTAGGGTGTGGTGTGACTTAAAAGTTCAGTTCTTTTTAGAGAAAATTTTAGTTCTGCCAGATGTATATGCTGAGAAAAGTGACAGTTATTTGAAAAGGAAAATGCTGTTTTGTTGAGATCTGGCCATATCAATGATATCTTTCCTTTTAGAGTCCAACTCATGGAGAAGGAACATAGCTCCTTCTCAAAACCAGGGATACTCTTGGCAGCACCAGGAACAACATAGTGAGTTTCTAGAACTTGGGAGTTTTGCCTAAGGTCCTGAGTGATGGAGAATAAAATAGAACTCCTTCATTGAAACCAGGAATATGTTTGGGAGAGATGGTAAGAATCTGGAACCAGTGCCTATCTGGAGAGGTTCTTCAGGTCCTGAGAACCCACCCCTTCCCACCACAGCGAGCTACAGTCCCAAGGCCACTTTGGGCATAGTCCATAATAGTCTTGAGATAGCTTTTCCACTTGTGTTGCATTTTTTTTGAGACAGGGTTTCTCTGTGGCTTTGGAGCCTGTCCTGGAACTAACTCTTGGAGACCAGGCTGGCCTGGAACTCCCACAGATCCTGCCTCTGCCTCCCAAGTGCTGGGATTAAAGGCATGTGCCACCACCTGCCTGGTTTTGTGTTGCATTGCTTGATTAAGCTTATTCTGAGTTTGTCCCATTTTATGGTAATTTCTGCTGAGTTCCTAGAAGTCTCCTATTTCCTCCAATTTCCCCTTACAAATGGTATACAAGAAGCTATTCATCTTAAGAAGCTTACTTGGAATAAGACATCGTTTATGCAAGACTTCTCTGTCCCAGCTTTTATCATATCTTTGTTCCATTTTTCCTGTCTTTCTCACCTTCTGGCACTGCACGTAAGGCCCTGTCAGTAAAGTATGACCTGCTGCTTCAGGTCACTTACATACTTTTGACATAATTGTGGCAATATCTTTGCTGTGTAAGTTTCCCAATTCCCTAACTGGCAAGACATGCAGTTTCCCATCTCTATTTAATTTCATTAAAGTGTAGACTAGAGTCGGAACCTAAAAGAAACTTAAGGATGGTACTCTATGTGGAATGCAGTGTTTATTATAGATTTTCTCCTCTTTGAGCATTTACCAGAGATGGATGCATGCTATCATTGTGCAGATTTTTCTTTATTAATCTCTTAAATGTGTACAGTGTTTTCTCACTAGAAAGGCATATTCTAGAATAGCTGCACTTCCAGCATTGTAGAAAAATATTTCTGAGATAAGGTCTCTTATGTTGGTATATGAGACCTTGATTTCATTCTGTGGCATTCCAGGTCAATGACCTTGCTGTCTTGATTTAAAAGTCTTTTTTTAACAAGATTTCTCTGTAACTTTGGTGCCTGTTTCAGAACTAGCTTTTGTAGATTAGGATGGCCTCGAACTCCCAGAGATCTGCCTTCCTCTGCTTCCCGACTCTTGGGATTAAAGGCGTGTGCCACTACCACCTGGCATTGATTCAAAATTCTTAAATGACTGTGTGGCCTCAGACTTTTAAAATTACCCACTTGAGTCATGAGGTCAACTATTCATTACACTCACAGAAGGATCTGCATGTGGAACATGGTTTCTGCCTTCAGATCAAAGTTTACTGAGTGCGCCACAGGGGAAATAGGAGGAAATCAGCTGCTGGAGCCACCAGTCTGAGAAAGGACCAAATTGTGGCAGTGTGGTAGTTTCAATGTTATTGGCTTCTATAATGTCATAGGGATTGGTGCTATTACAAAGTGTGGCTTTGTTGGAATCTGAATGGTCTTGTTGAAAGAAGTGTGGCACTGGGGATGGGCTTTGAGAATTCCTATGTGCTGGATACTGCCAAGCATTTCAGTCTACTTCCTACAGCCTGCATATCAAGATATAACCAGCACCAAAATTGTCCTGCACAACATAATTCTCTCCACCATAATGACAATGAACTGAACTTATGGAAGTCTAAATGAGCCACCCTGATTAAGTGTTTTTATAAGGTTAAGATGCTCATTGTATCTCTTTACATCCATAAAATTCATAACTAACACAGGTGGCCCAGTAATTTTTTTTTTTTTTTGGTTTTTTGAGACAGGGTTTCTCTGTAGCTTGGAGCCCCTCCTGGAACTAGCTCTTGTTGACCAGATTGGCCTTGAACTCACAAACATCCACCTGCCTCTGTCTCCTGAGTGCTAGAATAAAAGCATGTGCCATCACCGCCCAGCTCAGTAATTTTTTTTAATATTCCAGGATGTACTAATTCATGTCATGTGAATGAAGACAGTCCTGATTTGTGAGTTTATCATTGGAAGGCTAGCTTGAGCCAGTGAATATTGAATTTCAAAACAGGTAACTGTCCTGTGCAGATATGTTCAATCCTGCTTGACATAGTTAATACAGCTCCAAGGATTGAGAAACAGACCATTGTCTGTAACTCTGTATGTCAGGTTCCAAATCTCAGCAGCAAACATGAGCATGTGAGCAATATCATTCTGTCTTTTATCAGAGGCATGCCATCTAAAAGGGAATGGCCTACTCCTTTTCAAAGTCAAAATGCCTGAGGTTTATCTTATTGATTTTAAAATATATTATTTTCATCTTCCTAAAAAGCCCATTATTTGTATTCTCTTTCAATTTTCGTTTCTTTAAATGCATTACTGTTCTAATGTCTATTTTGTTCTCTTCCCCACTTTTTTTAAACATTACATTCCAGTTTTTCCTGAGTGTTATTGATTTACCGATTTCTCTTTATATCAGTGTGTTTTCTAGCCCAGGCTTGCCCCCATATTATGTACCTGAGAGTTGCTTTGAACACAGCTGATTCTGCCTCTGTTGCCCAGTGCTGGGAAAACACTCTTACAGTTCCTTCCAGGATGGGCTTTGACTGGTCATTGAGAAGGAAAAATAGATCAGTTAATGAGAGTCCTCTAATCCATCTGGCTTTTTCTGGGAACTCATAATTGAAGAGAGATATGTGAAAGAGTCCATTTACCTACTCTGAAGTTGTTGAAGGCGGAGTGCAGAAAGGGGACGGAAGGAAAATAAAACACAAGAGATTATCTGCTTTCATAGCTGTGAAAATTATTGGAGTCCACAAGAGAGTACAGTCAATGCACAGACCAATAGGCAGATCCACGGGAAGTGTCTATGTACTCATCAAATGGAACAACCTATTTTGCAGAGCTGTGGGAACACTTGCCTTTTGGAAATGTCACCCTCATATCTGTAAAGACATTGTTAAGCCATACATCTTCCCTTTGAAATGGGCTTCATTCCCAGACCACCTCAGCAGTGAAACCTCTTCGGGGCAGTGGACTGACCTTGCTCCATTTCCCCCACACAATGAGGCCTTGGAGCAATGGCATTCACTCTATGTTTTAATACTCAAATTTACTTAGAGTCAATCCCACATAATTACCTGCTAACAGACTACATAGAAATTTCTATAGAAGACAGGCACTGAGCAGGAAGCCAGCATGCCCCACCTTTGCTAACAAACAACTCTGTGTGTTCCCAGAGGTGTGTACTACAGCAGAGATTAGGAATATGGGTGAATCAAGGATTCAGGGATGTTTAATAACTTTATTAAAGGGCTTGGAATGCCAGATACATCCCTTTGAATGCTGGCTCTTTCCTAGGTCAGGTCTCCTGCTCTGGAGTGCTGCTTTGTCAGGTTCAACCTGCCAATTTTTGTGCTTTTGATATGCATATTATTATTGTCCTTGCCTATGGATTTTTCCAACCATGTCTGTAAAAACTAGAATTCTCATGGAGATCTGCCCTTACTCTTACTCTTCTTCTTCACCTTCACTACTTCTACTACTTGCCCTTACTCTCCTTCTTTCTTCTCCTTATTCTTCCTCTCCTCCATGCACCCTTTACTTCATTTTTCCTCTAGCATGAAAAATAAAGAAGATGCAGAGTTAATATACTTGAGTTAAATGTTTTACCCTGATATCCTTGCTTGCCATAGATACCCAGTTCTGAAATCTGATGGGTACTTGGGCTGGTACTCAAGGTGTCCAATAAAAATTAGTAATATGGAGTTTTGTAATCAGTTTTCAATGATTGATAAATGGCATGAGTGACCATTTCTTGTGATCCACAAGACAAAGACAATGAAAAATCTGAATAAAGAACTGACTTTATCATGAAGCCCAATTGCTGTAGTTTTACTACTTCAACCAAAATACAGGATCTCTGTAAACTGTAATGACTTTGCCTAACAGTACCATTGTCCCTATTTACTCAGGAGATCCTATCTATTTCCCCTTTCCAGGTGGATCCAAATATGTTTCTGTTAGGTTCTCCTTGT